GCCTTTCGCATGATGTATTCTGCATATAAGTTAAATAAGCTGGGGGAGAATATACAGCCTTGCCGTACTCCTTTCCCAATTTTGAACCAATCAGTTGTTCCATGTCCAGTTCCAGCTGTTGCTTCCTGTCCCACATATAGGTTTCTCAGGAGATAAGGTGGTCAGGCACTTCCATTTCTTTAAGAACTTGCCATAGTTTGTTGTGGTCCACACAGTCAAAGGCTTTTGCATAGTCAATGAAGCAGAAGTAGATATTTTTCTGGAACTCTCTGGCTTTCTCCATAATCCAGCGCAAGTTAGCAATTTGGTCTCGAGTGCCTCTGCCTCTTTGGAATCCAGCTTGTACTTCTGGGAGTTCTCGGTCCACATACTGCTGAAGCCTACCTTGGAGGATTTTGAGCATAACCTTGCTAGCGTGTGAAATGAGTGCAATTGTGCGGTAGTTGGAGCATTCTTTGGCACTGCCTTTCTTTGGGATTGGTAGGAGACAACTGCAAATTCAGCTTTTGTGGTGGAAAAAAACTTCAGAAAAGGCTGATAATAAAACTTGGCAGAAGCAGAGAACAGTGGCAAAAGAACTTAAAAAACAATACATCTGAGGGAGAGAAGAGATAAAACAAAGAACAGCCTTCTATAACTCTGTAGTTGTCAGTTCACAGTTTTCCAAAAAGCAATTTAGGTTTTCTTATCTTCTTTTTCAATACACAAGGAAGCCAAAACAACAAAAAAATTACAAGCCTGCAAATGGCACAAATGTTTTCCCACAAGTTGTCAAATAGAAGAAAAAACATCACTGCTCAGAAAGAGAAGATGCAAGCGCTGAAATCTGAATGGGAAAGTTCCACAAGCCAACCTGAGTGCATACATTTCCAGGATATAAATGCAGGATATAAATCTAGTTAGAAATCAGTTGTCACACTGCTGCTAATGAATTATAGGAATGTTCTAGAACATTAAAGTATGTACAAAACCTGTGATTCACCGGTAATAAAAATTCTATTTTAAGAGACATAAATTGAAGCTGTTTAACAGAATGGCATATTTTTCAAGGTCACAAAACTTTTACAAAAAGGTTGATGTCCAAGAGGAGATGCACAAGAAACAGATAGGTTCCATCTTTTCTCCCTGCTTCCCTCAACTCTACTTATACAAGTGGTACCTCGCATAACGATTTAAATTGGTTCCAAAAAAAAACATTATGTGAAACATCATTATGTGAAACACCATTTCCCATAGGAATGCATTGGAAACCGGTTAATCCGTTCCAATAGGCACGGATTGCCGTCCTTAAGTGAAAAAACCCATAAGAAACACCGTTAAACGATACAATGTTTCCTCCATTGGAATGTATTGAAGCTGACTCAATGCATTTCAATGGCTTTGCGAAGTCAATTTTTGCAAATTTAAGTGTGTCATAAAAGGGTCAAAATGGTTTTAAATGCTTGGATTAGCTTCTGCACCCTCTAAAACAGATGCAAAAGTTAATTTGGCTTTGATCTGACTTTTCGTTAATTTATGGTGAATTTTTTCCCCCCAACTTTTGGCAGCTGTCAAAATCTGACAGCTCCATTGGTTCCTAGGGGGGAAGAAAAAATTCACAAAAAATTAACGAAGACTCAGCAACTGTTCTAAATGCTTGGATTCGTTAGAGGAGCCCCTAAGTCGTGTGCAAACCTGATTAACCGTTTTTGACCCTTCTAAGACACTTTTTTAATTGAAAAAAGAAACATCGTTAAGTGAAGCAGGGGACCTAAAATCGCATTCGTTATGCGAAGCATGGTCCCAAACTTCGCTAAGCGAAAATCGCCCATAGGAAACATCGTTATACGGTGCATATTATTTTCTAAAAAAAACACATTGTTATGTGAATTCATCGCTAAACGAGGCACTCGTTAAGCGAGGCACCACTGTATCTCACTTCTGTGGTGCTTCCTGCCCGA